AGTTCAGACTTTTCATTGTAGTCATCCCTCTTGGAATGGATTCCATTCACATATTCCCAGACCTGTCTTGTTAGTGGTCGTCATCTGTCAGGACCTACACTGTCTCCTGTCAAGGCTTCTCCTGACCGTTCCATCAAAGCAATTACTCCCCACTCCCCAATTCGCTCTTATGTTCTCTTTTTCTTTTTTAAAATACTTTTAACTTTATTTTCACTCTTACAGAGAGTCACGAGACACATCAAATCTCTGAAATTTTCTGTTTTTCTTTTCATATGATTGCCCCCCACCAGTAAACCTAAATCAATTCAAACTTCGAATGTCCTGCTCATTCACAGACCTACCCCCAGTGCCGAAAACAGGCCCTGGGACCAAGTCAGTACTCAGTATTTATATGGTGACTACATGCCTTTTAAACATTCATTACTTTAGAACTTTCTGGGACTGTTGGGTCTGAATCTCATTCACCTCACTTTGGAACCGAGAATTATGTGGGTATACATGCCAGTCACTTTCTGTCTAGTTTTATGGAATTGAGGATCTTTGGAGCCCAAAGAGACAGAGATGTCATCTTTCTAATAATTTCATTTTACAAACACACATACTCACGTGCAGGTGCACACACAGAGAGATATGTGGCCTAAGGTTGTTAAAGCATTTGCCTATCATTATAAAGTTAGTTTGTTAGTAGGAGGTTGTATACAGTGCGTGAGGAGCCCTTACCTTGGCTGTGAGATTCTCTTCCACAATCACACGGTAGCCAAGGCCCACAAGTAACTCTTTCATCCCTGTGATGTCAAGTTCAGCCCCCTGTCTGGGCTGAAGGTGATCAAACTCTCTATTGCATATGATGAGAGCCAGGCGAGTGCGGTCTTTTCTCTTCTTTATTGGATAGATCTGCAGGAAATGGGTATGCAGTGAGTTTGACTTACCTAAATCTCTTTTAAACCTTCATATACTACTATCTGTTGCATTGTTACAGGATCATGGATCTGCTCTCTCTCCTCTTCTGTACCAGAGACCCTGTCATTTGCTTTGTAATGGATTGAACTGACAAATAAATAAGTGAGAATTGAAAGTGATTTAGAACTTTCAGATTATATAAAAATAAAAATAGACTGAAAAATAAAAGAATGTAATTTATTTTCCAAGAGCCCAGAAGTGGACCTAGAAACAACGGTTCTCAACCTGTGAATCGCAAACAATGAAAATACATCCTGCATATCAGACATTTACATTAAGATTCATAACAGTAGCAAAATTACAGTTATTAAGTAGCAACGAAAATAATTTTATGGTTGGGGGTCACCACAACATGAGGAACTGTATTAAAGGGTCACAGCATTAGGGTGGTTGAGAACCAGTGATAGAACATATTTTGGATGCTTACTCAATAATCTTAAAAGACTAGGACAATTCCTACCATAACTTTCTACTCTCTCTTCTCTACCCTGACAAACCATTCTCAGTTTTCAAGGTTCAGATCAAATTTCATAAAAACCAGGAGAATTTTCTATTGGCTCCAGATAAAAATAAATACATCAAAGATGTTTTGCGCCGGAGTATGGACATCAGCTCCTGATTTAGGGAGTGTGGTACTACATGCCTATGGTTTAATCAAAGTTGCTGAAAAATTCTCAAATGATTTTCATGAAACAAAAACTTCTTTACAATAAGGAAATGAAGAACATTAGAATGTAAGCTCCATTAAGACAGGATTATTTGTGTTTTGTTCACTGCTACAGTCCCAATGCCCCCAACATTATAGTAGGCACACAATAAATATTTGCTGCACGAATTGGAGATGTCAAAGGTTAAAGTAAGACAAAAGGCCAAAAACATTAATTAATAAAGAATGCCCCTCCTTAAGACAGAATCTACAGGGAAGTGTACTTAGAATCTTCTGTTCCAAATTGGCCTATGGTAGTAATCTATAACATATAAATATCTACAGTAACTCTAAGAAATAACTCTAAGACTTAAGAATGACTATATTAGATACAATTTATCTAGTAAATTTTAAATAAGTAGCTAGTAAATAAATAGGTAAAAATGAAAAGAAAATAACAGCAAAAAGACATCATCCTGCCTTGTACATCCAGATTGTACCACTGTTTTTTCATAGGTGCATCTCACTGGTTTACTTTACTTTTTTAAATCCTGGTAAAATATACCTAGCATAAAATTTTCCCTATTAACCATTTTTAAGCGTATAGTTCAGCAGCATCAAATACATTCACACTGCTGTGCAACCATGAACACTGTCCATTCTCCAGAATGTTTCATCATCTCAAACTCAAATTCCATACCTATTAAACAATAATGTCCCCATTGTTCCCTTCCCCCTGGCCCTAGGTCAGCCGTGGGCAAACTACGGCCCGCGGGCCGGATCCGTCCTGTTTGAAATGAATAAAACTAAAAAAAAAAAGACCGTACCCTTTTATGTAATGATGTTTACTTTGAATTTATATTAGTTCACACAAACACTCCATCCATGCTTTTGTTCCGGCCCTCCGGTCCAGTTTAAGAACCCATTGTGGCCCTCGAGTCAAAAAGTTTGCCCACCCCTGGTTTAGAAGGAAGTCAGACAGTCGGAAGATGTCCGGTCTCCCAGTCTAATTAGCATATTACCCTTTCATTAGTATAGACTAGAGGCCCGGTGCATGAAATTCATGCATTGGGAGGGGTGTCCCTCAGCCCAGCCTGCACCCTCTCCAATCTGGGACCCTTCAAGGGATATCTGCCTGCCCGGTGTGGGATTGGGCCTAAAAGGGCAGTTGGACATCCCTCTCACAATTCAGGACTGTTGGCTCCCAACCACTCACCTGCCTGCCTGCCTGAATGCTCTTAACCTCTTCTGCCTGCCATTCTGATCAGCCCATAACCACTCCCCTGCCAGCCTGATCGACACCTAACTGCTCCCCTGCTGGCCCAATTGCCCCCAACTGCCCTCCTCTGCTGGCCTGGCCCCCAAAACTGTCCTCCTCTACAGGCCTGGTCCCTCCCAACTGCCCTCCCCCTGCAGACCTGGTCCCCCCCAACTGCCCTCCCCTGAAGGCTTGGTCCCCCCCAACTGCCCTCCCCTGCTGGCCTGATTTCCCCCAACTGCCCTACCCCTGCTATCCTATTGCCCTCCCCTGCTGGCCTGGTCCTCCACAACTTCCCTCCCCTGCAGGCCTAGTACCTCCCAACTGCCCTCCCCTACAGGCCTGGTACCCCCAGCTGCCCTCCCCTGCTGGCCTGGTCTCCCCTAACTGCCCTCCCCTGCCGGGCATCTTGTGTCCACATGGGGGGTTCCATCATATGCTTTGGAGTGATGGTCAATTTGCATATCACTCTTTTATTAGATGGGATGGGGTTGAAAGAAAATTGAAATTTGTGTGAGGTTATATGAGTTCCTCCTTGCTCAAAGCATCTATGAAAAAGATTACCACTGTCCCCACCCTACCACTCTGCAATTAGTGCTTTAAGAAATTGGGTATTTAGTGAAAGCAACTGTTTCTCTCTCTTTCTCTATTTTATGGATAGAACACAGTACCTCTCCTGCTCTTTCTTTGCACACTTTCAGGAACTCTTCAGGAGGACAAAGCTTGAGGTTATCTGTAGTTTCTGCTGACTCAGCTGGCCCAGTCACTTCTGCAGGATATATCACATGATGTAAATTTTAATATCTGCATCTGTTACCCATGATCACCTAAGATATACTGACAGAAAAGGTAAATCATGAGAAGTTTGTTAAACACTTTTAAATGCAGGAATTTTCCTTGAATCTAACCTCTAATATGGAGAAGTATATTGTGACTGGGAAAGAAGGGGGAAATTCTCGGTAGCAGATCCACCCAAAAAATGTGATACTAGATTATGATTATTAAGAGGAAAATACCTTCCTTGGTGACTTGGGTCAAATTTGGCCTTTTTATATTTAGCTAAAACAGCTTGAGTCTTGCTATTTTTTACTGTAGAGCACTCCATCATCTAAGTGTACAATCTTGCCACTGAGCAAGAGTATATTGAATAAATATTTATTAGAGTGCTATTCATTAGAAACATAATTAAGTCACATGTGCAATTGAATTTTTTCTAATGTTCACATTAAAAAAGGAAAAACAGATTAAATTAATTTTAATAATATTTCATTTAATATAATATATTCAAACTATTATCATTTTACATGTGTTACTAGCCACAATTCAAGCACTTTATACTCACAATGTGGCTGGTAGCAATTGTTAGGTTAGATGGCTCAGGAGGCTGCGTAAGAAATAAAGAGCTGAGTGAATCAGAAAAGAAAAGGAAAGGAAAGGTTTATTGCGTCCCCGGGAGACCCACGTACCCCAAAGTCAGGGCACGTGGATTCTCGCCAACAGGGAGGGGGGCACTTTTTTATACTGCTGTTGGGTGAGGGGCGGGGACATAGGCTGAGGTATTCAGCTGAGGAAGTTTCCGCTGCAGGGGGTCAGCAGAGGTATTCAGGAAGGTGTCAGTATCTGTGTGGGGGTCGTGTTGATTCAGGGAGAAGCCAGTATCTGTGCTGGCATGCTGATCTGTTAGAAATGCCAGAGAGGTTCCATTGTCTCATACACACGTCTGCATGTATCCGATCCTGGGATCTCTCCGACCTAACAGCTATCATATTGGACTAGAGGCCCAGTACACAAATATGTGCACAGGTGGGGTCTGCCCTGATCAAGGCCAATTAGAAAGGCCAGCCAGGGGGGAGGAGCCTTGGGCAGTTGTCGGGCCTGACCCGCCCCCTGGTGGAACTCCCAATTGAAGAACATT